CCTTTGTTTGCTTCCCCTGTTCCTTCAGATGATTAGAGAAATTCTTCACTGCTGTAATAGACCAGAGAACCACATCACAAACATATTATATGCATCATTATCAATCAATTTTTTCAGAGGATCATGAAAATGAGAATGAGAATTCTAGATAAGATTCTCAAAGTACAGAGTGAGGGAAGAGACCCTTAATCACCCTTAAGCATCTAAGACCATTCCCCTCACTTAACTTCCACACTGAATCTCAACAGGAGAAGTGAAGGCTGGCAGACCGGGTGCCACCTTAATCGCCCTCCTATAGATCACAGGCATGGTGTGGAGCAATCTTTCCAGAAGGCATCGTTTCTACTTAAACAAGATCAAATCCGCACCTAAGCCACTATACCCCTCGCCTGCTCCATGGCCCAAGACCCTTTCACTAGCGTTGTAAGCCCAAGACCCTTTCACATGTAATATCTAGAGTTGTAAGCCTATAAAGCAGAGGTTTCCTTTGTTAGAGAAGCTTGGCTGTTAGGCAACTACGCCACTTTGCTCCTAGTGGTAAATCACCCCTTCCTTCCTAGTTTGGTGTTCAAGAGGTCTGTTTCTCATAGCTGCTCCTGCTACAAAAGCATTAATTACAAACATACCTCGGTTTGGACTAGTGAAAAACATTAATTCAAACAACAGAACCCATTTCATGGCAAATGTTATTTTAAAATTGTAACCAGGTGCTAAACATAAAATAAGAATACCATATTCCTTAACATCCATCCTCTTCAAGAAGGGTAAAAAGAATAAATCAAACTGAAAAGTCACCAACCAAATTAATCCTAAAAACCCAGTTACCCTAGACTAAATGTCTCCCCATTGCCTTATTAAAAATTCAAACTGCCCCTCAAAAGATATTAGTTTATCGCCTTATCAAATTCTATATAGGCTACCTTATTTACATTCTACTACTAACATTCCTACATTTAAAACCAAAAATCAGTTCCTCAAAAACTATACACTTAGTCTATATTCTACTTAAAACCAAAAGTCTCCTAGCATAGGCACTGACCCTAAAGTTCCCGACACATCAACACCAACCTAGAGATAAAGCCCTCATCAAAAGACAGAAAGAGGCTGGTCCGAGTGCAGTGGTGTTTACAACTAATTGATTCCAACCAGTTACAGATTTCTTTGTTCCTTCTCTACTCCCACTGCTTCACTTGACTAGCCTTGAAAAGAAAGAAAGAAAGAAAGAAAGAGAAAAAGAAAGAAAGAAAGAGAGAGAAAGAAAGAAAGAAAGAAAGAAGGAAGGAAGGAAGGAAGGAAGGAAGGAAGGAAGGAAGGAAGGAAGGAAAGAAAGAAAAAATCTCAAACCAGCTTGGGAAGGACTTTAGTGCTCCTAACTACTAGCTACTGAAACTGCAGTCCAAACAGCAGAAAGAAAGTAAGTCCATACCCAAGTCCAAAGAGCACTACCACCTTCAAAATCATGGGCCATTATTTCAGGATAAAGCCCTACAAAATTAAAGTTAAAAAAAGCTTAACTCTTCTATAACTTTTATATTGTTTCTCCCTCTTTCCTCACTCTGTTGCTAGCTACTTCATTATTATATAACTAGGTCTGACTCGCCCAAACCATTGTTTTTAATGTTTGTCTTCTTATACCTTGGGGAAATTTGAAGGACCAAAAACAACCAGTGTCTCTGTCCTGTATCTCTGTCCCGGCCCCCTAATCTCCACAGTTACCCCTAGTTCTCACCATTATAATTACCTACAGTCAAAACACATTCCTTTACTCCCACAGGCTAACAACCTTGTAGTAATTGGGGCTATGTCCTTTAAACCACCCAATACCAAAATTAAACCTCTACAAATAGAGTTTATGTCAATTTAAAACCCCTCCTCCATTAAAAAAAAAAATACTCCCCCTAATTACCAATCTCACCAATACAACCCTATCCTTATTTCTATGACCACCTCTACCTCCACTGACCCTAAGCCTGGGCCAATGTCAATGTGAAAAATCCTGTAAGTATTTTTAAAATACACATTATTCCTCCTCCTCCTCCTCCTCCAAGTTTCAGCTTTAAACCAAACACCTGCTATTCCTGAACCTAAAAAAGTGTTCGTTATCAAAGTAAATAACCTAAAACGAACCTTAACAATTAAAACAAAATACCAAAATACAAAGACCTGGCTAAAATAAATTAAATATTCCATCCACACATTAAACAAAAGCAACTGTTACACTTATGTGCACAGTAGGCCAGAGGCCCAGACTGTCTCCTTTCCACTTAAATGGTCTCTCTGGCGACAGGGCATAAACTATCCAATTATATAGCTTATATAATTATATAAGCAATATAATCTATATAATGACTTTTCCAAAATCCCACAGCCTAGAATAATAAATCATGCCAAGTGCACTCACAAGCACTTGAGCTGTCTCTCTCTCCCCCCACCAAAAGCTTACCCTTTCCAAAAGCTTACCCAGCAATCTGCCCTTAGTCATCCCGGAACAAATATGTAATAGTATTGTGGCAGACTTTTACTAAACGCTACAAAGTAACTAGAGCAAAACTTGTATTCTAGTCCAATTAGCCATCCCTTTAAGTCCTCTAATCCTGAAGTTTATATAAATACCATCAAAGTTCCACAAGGAGTGACAAATTCAAAGCCCAAAATCAAATAGCTACAAGGTTTCAATCCACATTGTTCCAGTAGATAACTATAAAATAATAAATAAATAAATAATAAAAAACTGCACTCTAGCCTGGGCGACAAGAGTGAAACTCTGTCTCAAAAAAAAAAAAAAAAGGAATAATAGAAAAACTTATTAAAACAATTCTCATCAAAACTTTCCTCAACTCTCCCCCACCTGATTCAAATAAACTTTCTTCTAAAAAATCAAGCCAAACACCACAGTCAAAATATACTTAAAAAGTTTAAAAAAAGAATTATAAAAAATAAAACAAGTTAAAAGTATAACAAAGTTTCTTTTCAAACAGCCTGCTCAACCTTTTATCCCTTAATTCCAAGTACCCCCCCCCCCACTTTCTTTCATCTCTTTTTCTTTCTTATTTTGCTACATGCCCAGGCATGCCACAGCACCAGCTCACATTCCTTTACTTATTTAGGAAAGGACTAGCTCTCTAATGTGACACAAACAACCCCTTCCTCCTCTCCTGTCTCTCCCATCATGCATCCACCTTATCTTAAAAAGTTTAAATATTTAGCCAACCAGGCCTAGTTTAAATTATACAATCCAACCCTAACCAATTTAAAAAAAACAGATACACACACACACACACACACACACACACATACACACACACACACAAGCTACATTAAAAATAATAAAAACTGAGTAGGGTACAGTGGCTCATGCCTGTAATCTCAGCACTTTGGAAAGCCGAGGTGAGATCATGAGGTCAGGAGTTTGAAACCAGCCTGACTAACAGGTAAAACCCCATCTCTACCAAAGATACAAAAATTAGCCCGGCGTGGTCGCACCTGCCTGTAATCCCAGCTACTCAGGAGGCTGAGGCAGGAGAATCGCTTGAATCCGAGGTGGGGGGCAGCGGGGGGTTGCAGTGAGCTGGGATCGCAACCCTGCACTCCAGTCTGGGCTACAGAGTGAGACTCTATCTCAAAAAATAAAAAATAAAATAAAACATCCTATTTTCCTTTATTCTATATGCTCTCACCATTACTCCATACACGAAACACACCCTTCTAACAGAAGTAAATTTACTTTGCTAAAGAATCCTTTATCTAAGCACTCGTTTTTCCATACATCTCCAAGCTTTATTTCTAACACTGAGTCCTTGCACTCCAGCCTGGGCGACAGAAGGAGACTCTGTCTCAAACAAAAACAACAAAAAAAAAAACAAGCAGAAGTACCGTCCCAGCTAAGTGATGTAACCGGCTTTTGGGAAAGACGACCCCCAAAACACCCTGAAAATTGAGTTCCTCTGTATGACAGGCTGGGCGGTGAGACAGGCCTCCTTTTGCCCTTTCCCTTTAGGAGTTTAGATGCAGCAACTGACACATTCATGCAGACAGACACCAGACTGGAAAAAAACAGAGCAATAAGATACCAAATTACAAACAAGACCTAAGGCCATACAAGGCAACGGTTAAGTCAAGCCTTAGAATTCATAAAATCCAGAGAAACAGGTCTGTTTTTTGGCTGGAATGGAATCGCGTGGCAGATAACACACTCCCTTCCCTCACCGTTCATTCCTATCTCCTCCAAACTTTTGACAAAGCTTCACACTCTCAACCAACTGCCACCTACAGAATCCCTAAACCTCCGGTGCCTTCTAACCCCGCTTCCACAGCTCCCGCCTTTTGACCAAAGGAACTTATACACCTTCCAGGCACGGATTCATGATCTTCCTACAATTCTTGTCTCCTTGAAATGAATAAAACCAAAATGTCATTAGCCACCTCGGGACCCCTTACTCCAGGCCTCGTGGGATTGTGTTTTCCTTGGCTTCGGTCTCTTCGCATTCGTCTCTGAATAAACTTTATTTTACAGACTGGCTTTTTCCATTGACAAACCACAAACTAGGACTGGGTATTCTCATTTATGAATCACTGTTTCCTCAAATGAACTCTTGGCTAATGTGACTCAGGTTAATTTTTAATAGGAGAAAGGCGGAAGTGGGGACCCCACAGACCGCTTCTCCTCCCACACGAACCCCACGCCGGAGTCGTGATTCCCCCATGACCCTACCGTGGCCCCCGCCTAATCTGGGGAGACGCGGGGCACGGAACTGCCCAGAGAGGGCTCCCGGGCCGAGGCTGCAGGCGCCGCCCATGGACGGGACAGGACGCCGGGGATCTTGGCTGCCGGCCCAGCCCCGCTCAGTGGCCACGGGGACAGAGGGCCGAGCTGCTCCAGGAGGACTCGGTCCTAGACCCCAAAGTCGCCCGCAGGGAAGCCCGGGTCCCGCCACAGTCGGTTCCGGACGGTTTCAGGCAGCCCCTCCCCCGTCTCGGGACCCCCTGTCCCACACACGCACCATTTCCCAGTTTTCTGATGTCCCAGAGTCCTCTCTACAGCTTCTGTGACTACAGCAGGGCACAGCGCAGGTGACAGAGCGACAGAAGCGTGGGTAGAGGCACCAGGTCTCTCTCGGGGTTGGAAAGACTGGATCCCAACGGCCGCCCGCACAACGACAAGGTGACGGAAGGAATGCGATCCTTTCCGTACCCGGATGAACAATGGGCGGACCCCGCCCTGGCTCCTCTGATTGGATGGAATGCTAGCCTCCGCCCCCCACGTCTGAGTCACCGCTGAAGCCTTGGGTATCAGGCCCTGCAGAGCCAGACAGATTCTAGCCACAGCTTTTCTAAGGGAGAGCTAATTCCTGCACCCTTGTTATTGGATATTTGCATTTCAGCCCAACTTGCTATTGATAGAAGAGAACACTAGCGTCTTCGTCACTCAAGGGATTATCCCTGCTCCTTCCATTCTGCACGGGGGCGGGGGGGGGGTGTCACAGGAGTGTGCAGGGAATTTCACTCAGTGTCCATAGGAGCCATCTGCTGGCCTCCGAGCAGCAGGGGAACCGAGACTAGGCCAGGCATGACCGTACCAGGAGGAGAGGCATATGTCCTGGAGGGGGCCCGAATTGGGGATGAGGCATGGCCAAGCCTTGCTCACACACCCCCATCCCCGCCTCACAGTGTAAAAATGCTCCCTCCTTCTATATCTTTATTTTCACCAGCAGGAAACTCTCACCTAGGATTATTTAAGCTTCTGACCTAAATAGTCAACTTCATGAACCCTTTGTCCAGGTGACGCCCCCACACAATTCTGTCTCTAGCCTGATCTTCACGTATTTTCTTTATATATACAATGAACTCTGATCCCAGCGGCCCCATGGATGTCAAATCCCAAATCCTGCCCAAAACACAGCTCCAGGCTCCAGAGGTACAGCACTCGAAAGGACAGAACCCCACAAATGCATCTGCACGTGGTCTTCTGCTTTCCAGGGCTCTGCAGCTTCTCGGAATCCACACTCCTGGAGCTGCTCTGAGCATCTGGAGGTCACCTGTAGGGGAGGGCGGGCTATCCGCGAAGCCCCCAGAGGAGCTCCTTTTCACTCCCTTTGCAGGCTCCACCTGCCTTAGCGTGGAGTCACTAGCCTCGGGCTCTGCTGCCCCCTGCAGGTTATTCAGCTACTTCTCGCCCCTTCAATCAGTTCCACGAAACAAACACCCTCAAACCCATTGTGTGAATAAGACACCAGCAGAGTCCCTGCTCTCCTCCTATGTTTATGTATAAAGTGGAGGAGGGAAATTCTAAGATAAGTGTTAAGTGCATTTAAAAGAATTCTAGATCGTGGTGGAGGTGGCAGTTCAGGGACCTGCGTTCAGAGACGCTGCAGCACCTCCAGGCCTGGCTGGTCCGAGAGAGGGTGGAGAGCTGGAGCTGGATGTGGATAGGTGGAGGGAGCAGCCCTGGGAACTGGGCTCTACAGCAGCGCGGCTCTAAAGCCCGGAGCCCTGGAGAGCAGAGATGGGGGCTCCCGGGACAGGACACTTGGGGAGGAGAGAGTAGAGTCCGGTAGCTTCCATGGGGAGGCGGTGCTGTGGCAGCTGGTGTGGGCCAGTGGCTATCATAGGTATCATAACTAAGCCCAATTGGGAGGTGAAAACTTGGATTCCATGGGAATTTATAAAGAGAAAGACTTTGATGACAAAGAAGTCATCGATGAGGAGGGGGATGAGGATCACTGGTAAGCTCGCCCCCTTATGGAAAGAAAAGTGAATGCTTAACTACTGCTGCAAAATGGGTTCAAAGGATGAGACTCGCTGTCAGGGAACAGACTGCTGCAGAACTCTTAGAGATTGCAAAGACCTTTCAACAACAGCCTGGGAGGTCGGGTGCCATGGCTCATGCCTGTAATTCCAACATTTTGGGAGGCCAAAGTTGGAGGATCACTTGAAGCCAGAAGTTGGAGACCACCCTGAGCAGTGAAGTGAGACCCTCCCATCTCTATAAATTTTTTTTTTTAATTAGCCAGGAGAGGTGGTGTGTACCTATAGTCTCAGCTTGAGGTTGCTGTGAGCTATGATCAGGCTACAGTACTTCAGCAATACACTGTCTCAAAAAAACATAAAAATCCCACCAAAGTACCTGGGGAAACCCTGACCCCCTTGGATGGTCTAATTGTGAAACACAGAGGGTGGTGATATTTATTTATGGACTGGATCATTCTAACCATGTAAGAGGCTTGGCCTACTGAGGATTTACCAAGAGGGATGACCTCCTTGCAGTCAATGGAAAAGGCCCCTGGTGAAACCATCCCTTTAAACTTTATCAAATTCATCAGGGAGGAATGGAGGAGCAAAACTTCAATCAAGCTTGCAGCGCCTTCAGCATTAATCATTATGTCAGCTTGTTCTCTGACCTTCCTCATATTTATTTTACACCTAGTGTCCTAGAATCCCATAGACCCTAAATGATAGCTCCCATCCTTTTCAGGGCTGGGTGTATTAGTTCATGACTGTAATCTCCGCACTTTGGGAGGCTCAGGTGGGGGGATCACTTGAGCCTGGGAGTTCAAAAACAGCCTGGGCAATACAGTGAGACTCCATCTGTACAAAAAATTTAAAAACAGTCAGGCATGGTGGCATGTACCTTTATTCCCAGCTACTTGGGAGGCTGAGGCAGGAGGATCTCTTGAGCCCAGGAGTTTCTGCAGTGAGCTGTGATCCCACCACTGCACTCCAGCCCGGGACAGAGCCATACTATGTGTCTTTAAAAAAAGAAAGAAAGAAAGAAAAAGAAATCCAGACATTTGTTGGTCTTTGGATTATTGGAAAGCATTTACCTGACACTCGGCCCAACGTCTGAGCCCAATATATAGACTTAATAGAAAGGAGCACTTTGGGACTGAAACACAGCTCTGCAGGAAGCTTTGGGCAGGTTAATGTGTTAGTATGGCAGGCACAAGCCTCAGGCACACCTTTAGAGGGTAGATCTGTGACTTGGGATGTTACAGCTGCTGCTGAAGGTACAAATTGGGCCTTATGGCAACCACAGTGTGCTAAATTAGTCCCTTTAGGATTTTAGTTTTAGTTGTAATGATGACATGGAGATGAAACCAGACACTCTTGAAATTGAACAAATGCTGGCAGTGTATTATCCTTTCCAGCAGGTAGAACCCTTAAGAAAGAACCTTCCTGTGACTCTGGGAACGGGACTACCATGCCTGGCTAATTTTTTGTATTTTTAGTAGAGACAGGGTTTCACCATGTTGTCCAGGCTGGTCTTGAACTCCTGAGCTCAGGTGATCTGACTGCCTCAGCCTCCCAAAGTGCTGGGATTACAGGTGTGAGCAACTGCGCGTGAACTCCAACTAAATTTCTTTCATTTGGATGGCACAGTTTCTCACACCTTAATCCCAGCACTTTGAATGGCCGAAGTGGGTAGATCACTTGAGCCCAAAAGTTTGGGCTATGTCCACCCCGGGCAACATGGTGAGACCTAGTCACTATTTTTATTTTTTAAAAAGTAAATATATATATATACACACACACACACACACACACACACACACATATATATATTTTTGTTGTTGTTGTTGTTTTTGTTTTTTTGTCTTTTTTTTTTTT